GGATGCTGGTCAGCTGACAGCCAGAGAGTGGTCTTTGACTCGGCTCAGCGCAGCCGGCAGGTGAGGGACACTGATGGTGTTGAGGGGCAGCCCCTGTGGTCAACCCCCAGGAGCCCTGCGCCCCTGAGACATAGCACGTGCATGCCCCTGGGTGAAATGCCCAGCCACAAAGTCTCATCAGCCCCTTAAAACCCTGCCTGCCCATCCTGGACTCATTTCTCTTGGAAGGGACAGGCTGGCCTGGTACACCACAGCAGAACTCAGGCCTTTTCATCTGAGGCAGAGATGCAACCCCTCCCAGGCATTTCTAGCTGGGGGTCAAGGGGACTGCCACTGGGGTGGGTCCCTGAACACTCTGTAATGGCAACTGATGGGGATAGGACTGAGCCCTTCCCCCAGGGATGGAGTAAAGGCACCCACAGTGTGCCAGGCTCCTTTTGGGTGTGATATTTGGTGCTCGTGCCAACTCAAAGGGGCTCAAAGCCATTCCTTACCTTGCCCAGGGTCACCCAGCAAGTTGTGATGGTGCTGGGATTTGAACCCAAGCCCTCACGCTACTCCCTACTGCACTGAGTAACCATCACCATAGCTGTCCACAGCCTTGGTCTGGCCAGGGCTCTCCAAGACGGTAGAGAGGAGGTAGGGGAGGGACCCATAGGTAGAGGGAGTACTCTTGGATGTGGTCCCACATGTGGCCTCCCCTCTGCTTCAGGACCTGTTTGCTGTGGACACCCAAGTGGGCACCGTGACCTCCCTCACAGCTGGTGAGCAAGGCTTTGGGGATGGTGGTAAGGACAGGGCTGGTGAGCAAGCCTGCCAGGCAGTGGGAGACTGGAGCTCCAGCATGTGGGGCAGTGATGGCATTCTCAGCCACTCAGCACCACTGACTGTTCCACAGCCTTTACTAACAGGTCCCCAAAGGCCCTGTCCGTGCAGACCCTTACCCAACCAACAGACTAGCTTCCCTGCTCTACTGCCCTTTAGCACTTAACTCTGCTCCATGTGTCCTGGCCCAGCCTCAGCATGGCCCCTACCTCTGCTCCTAAAACCCACAAAACTCTCTCTTACCAAGATCTGCCAGAGTCATCTTTCTCCCTCTGCAAACCTTGGGTGCCTGTCTCAGGCAGAGGCAGCTCTGCCACCTCAGGGCCCAGGAAAAGCCCAGTGTTGACTCCTGCATCTTCCCCATACTTAGGCCTGGTGATTCTGCCCTTGAGATGTGTTTTGAGTCCTCCACCTGACCTGACTGTACCCGCTCCTCCACAAAGCTACCAAAATATTATTCCAAAGCTACATCTCATTGTACAACTGCTTCAGAATCTGCTTGGACACCACTGCCCCAAATCAGCACACTCCCCGGTCCCAGCTGCCACCCTGCACACAGCAGCCACCAAGGGACAGGCAGATGTGTCTGCATGGTCTGATGTATCTCAAGGTCTGGCAGTTCCCAGCCCAGCCAGTGTCTGTCAGATGAACAAGGGACTGAGAGCAGGAGGCTCATCCAGGGCCATGTGCAGTTGGGCACCTTCTTGGGCACCTTTCCATAGAATCTCCAGCCTGGGACTCTGTTAAAGAGAAGCAGGTAAGAAAGGTGATGGCTCCTGCTAAGCACTTAGTGGCATCTGCCTTTTCCAGGAGGGTCAGGTGGGAGCTGGAAGCTGCTCACAATTGACAGGGACCTCATGGTGGCACAGTTTTCCACACCCAGCCTACCTCCAACCCTGGTGAGTGTCGGTGGGTCCCAGGCCATGGAGGCAGGGGGTCTGGGCAGGCCAAGCTCACCAGGTCAGGGAATTGGCCCCTGAGTCTGACCATGGCTGGTCAGCATACAAATGGGCCAAGACACAGGCCCAGCTTGGCATGGTCCATGAGGGTTTGGCACTCACAGGGACGAACTACTAGGCTAGAATCTGCTCTGTACAGAACAAGGTGCCTGGGGAAGTACCCAGTCCTGGTATTACAGATCTAAGGAGACAACAGAGCCTAAAAGCTGAGGAGGGAAGGGTGTGTCTATGTGTGATTGTATGAGTGTGAATACCTTGGTATATACTATCCCACAACAGGAAGCCATGCTATACTCTCTGGAGGTGGGTGGAGGGCCCAGCATAGTGAGAGCTGCCTATTTCCCACTGTGGGCAAAAGGGAAGGGCAGAGAGGCAGCCAGGCCACCTGTGACATATTCCTTCCCCTTGGCAGAAAGTTGGGTTCCTGCCTTCTGCAGGGAAGGAGCAGTCAGTGTTGTGGGTGTCCCTGGAGGAGGCCGAGCCCATTCCTGACATCCACTGGGGCATCCGGGTGCTACAGCCACCCCCAGAGCAAGAGAATGTGCAGTATGGTGAGCTGGGCCAGGGGCAGAGGGATGTCTTCTCCAGGTTCCCCAGCACAAAGCCTCTGCGGTGACCTTTGCTACCTCCTGTCTCGCATTGTGGGGTTTCTGGGGATGACCTCTAAGAGGTTTTCTGTTCCTCTTGTGGATGGGCATGGGAAGTAGCATCTAGACATCTGAGCGCCTGCTCTGGGTATCACCTGGGCTCCACCAGGCCAAATCATGTGTGGTGGGAAGACCCAGGTCCAAAGAAAATAGGCCTCATACAAGTCTCAGTGACCACACCTCATCCTGAATGCTGTCCCTGCAGGGTGGGGCTCCCTGACGAGGGCAGAAGAAGCATGAGACTTCTGGGGTCCATGTGTCATGGTGTGGACTACCTTGGCCAGGTCTCTGACCCAGAGGTCAGCCCCAGACCTGCAGCTACAGATGGGCCCTTGGTTGGGGAAGCCCCTAGGCTGGCCCTGCTGATTGCTGCCCTCTCCTTGCAGCTGGCCTTGACTTTGAAGCAATCCTACTGCAGCCCTGCAACCCTCCAGATAAGACCCAGGTGCCCATGGTGGTTATGCCCCACGGTAGGCATCTGGTGTTAAAGAGCCCTTGCCCTCCCAGCCCTCCTCCTAGCTGGCCCTTTCACCCTCTGCTCCCTGTCTGCAGGGGGGCCCCATTCATCCTTTGTCACTGCCTGGATGCTGTTCCCAGCCATGCTTTGCAAGATGGGCTTTGCGGTACTACTAGGTGAGTGAGCAGGGACCCACAGCTCTGTTAGGACTGTGGTGGAGTGAGAGGGGTGGACATGGTTTGTACAAGCACCATGGGTGCCACTCTAGTCTCCAGGTCTTTCTGTAGCCCAGACCTAGTAACCACTACCAGGAACTGCCAGGGCCCAGCCTCTGGTTCTGTGGCATAGTGATAACAAGGACTAACTTGGGACTTCCAGGGGAAGGGCACTGTGGTTACTTGGTGGCAGCCTCAAATCTCTGGGTCCCTTCCCCTTGACAGTCTGTGGTATAGCTGGCCCCAGGGCCTACTTCACAGATGTGTGGAAAGGGTGTCCAGGGGGCTGGGAATGTTGCCTGACTACACTGTCTGGTCCCTCCCCGCCCTCAGTGAACTATCGTGGCTCCACGGGCTTTGGCCAGGACAGCATCCTCTCCCTCCCAGGCAATGTGGGCCACCAGGATGTGAAGGATGTCCAGGTAGCAGGGGCTGGGGCTTCTGGACAGGCTGAAACATGGGCTGCCAGGGGGATGCCCCCATTCAGCTGAGTGGGCAGCTGGCTGCAGCATGCTTTGCCCCACCCTACAGTTTGCAGTGGAACAGGTGCTCCAGGAGGAACACTTTGATGCAAGCCATGTGGCCCTTATGGGTGGTTCCCATGGTGGCTTCATCTCCTGCCACTTGATTGGTCAGTACCCAGAAACCTACAGGGCCTGCGTGGCCCGGAACCCTGTGATCAACATCGCCTCCATGTTGGGCTCCACTGACATCCCTGACTGGTAGGCATACACCACAGGTCCCTGCCCTTCCCTCCTCTACCTCATATTCTCATGGAGCCCTGCAGGCCTAGAATTCCTGGGTCTGCATCAGCTCAGTGTCTTGCAGGTGCGTGGTGGAGGCTGGCTTTCCTTTCAGCAGTGACTGCCTGCCAGACCTCAGCGTGTGGGCTGAGATGCTGGACAAATCGCCCATCAAATACATCCCTCAGGTATGCAGCCCCCTCCTTGCCCTGTGTGCTGCCCATCCATCCAGAACCCAGGGCCCAGCTCAACACAGCTCCCCACTCCTCTCCGAACACCCAGGTGAAGACACCACTGTTACTGATGTTGGGCCAGGAGGACCGGCGTGTGCCCTTCAAGCAGGGCATGGAGTATTACCGTGCCCTCAAGACCCGGAATGTGCCTGTTAGGTGAGTGCAGCAGGAAGGCCCTGGCAGCTGGTGGGCAGGTGAGCATAGGAGGACCCTCCAACCTTAAATGTTGCTGACTAATTTCTACAGGCTCCTGCTCTATCCCAAAAGCACCCACGCACTATCAGAGGTGGAGGTGGAGTCAGACAGCTTCATGAATGCTGTGCTCTGGCTACGCACACACTTGGGCAGCTGAAGCCCTGCCATTCTGCATGAGCTGATCAGCCTGTGCCACACTTCGCTCTTGGGGAGCTCCAAGGTCTGGCAGGGCAACAGGAGGCTTTCTGGGCTCTGGACTCCACGGATGCGTGGGCAGAGGAATGTGGGCTATGTAGTCATAATAAATTAGGACACAGAGCCTGGTTCCTGCTGGTACTTTGTACCAAGCCAATCCCAACACCACCTCCCACCCTGGTGTGCAGAGACCCTAGGTTCTGGGTGTGGTAGCCACAAGGGCTTCATCTGCCTCCAGTGTGAGAAGGGAAGGAACAGTGAGAGGCTTAGCCTCTGCCTGTCCTGGCAACCAGGACTCTGTACCAGCCTAGCTTCCCTGTTGCAGCCCCTTCCATTAGCAACGACTCTGCACCACCCTTCCCAAGAGTATGTCTAGGGGACTAGTGAGACCCTGCCTTTCCACGGCACCCATGGGCAAAAGTAGTCCCAGGGACAGATCACCTAGCCCAGGGTGTGCTGGGCTCAAGCCACCCAGGCCCTAGCAAGGAGTCACTGACTCATTTCCTGGAAGCAGAGGCTAAGAAGCATCTGTACAGGCGTAAAGAGGAAAAGTGGCTTTATGTCTGACAAGAAGTTTTGTCCTTCCCAAGGCATATGGGGTCAAGGCTGGGCCTAAGCCAGTCTCATGACCTTGTGAATCCAGTCCACAAACACAGAGACACGCGTGAAGACGGCTGGCCAGCGGGACCTTGCGCACACTCGGTTGGGGATTATAATTCCTTCCAGGACCCAGCAGTTGTGGGTAAAGCAGGCAAGTGGGCCCCCGTAGTCACCCTGGCAGGTAGGAGAACTGATGAGGGCCCTGGGCCACAGCAATGACTAGCCCCCTTCATGATAAAATAGTTCATTTCTAGCCCCCCCATACCCTCCCAGGGCTGGCCCAGGGCCCTGCCACCAACCTCACAGGCCCCCACAGGGGCCAACAGTCCATCAGTGCACATCTCGCTCTCCCGCACACGTCCTCGGTGCTTGATGTTACACTCCTGGTTGGAGATGACGTTCAGCAAGGCCACATTTAGGACTGTGTCATTACCCGTACCTGCAGTGAGGCGAATGGGGAGAAGGAGAGGGCCCTGGAGGAAGATCCAAGGCTGGGCTTCCTGGCCACGAGCAGTCCTGTGCACTGTGCTCTTACCTTTGGTCTCACCCCAGCCTGCAATCTCACACTTGGTCCCTGGAGGCACCACATACCATTCAGGGGGCAGGCAGATCAGGGCCACACGCTGGTTCAGGGTCACAGATCTTTAGCAAGAATGGGGGCACTCAGGGTCTGAGGCCACAAGGCCCAGTCCCACCTCACACCCTCCCAGGTTGTCCACATACCTCTCCAGCTTGAGCAGGACAAGCTGGGAGCCTGAGGGCCCACACACCATCTTGGCTACTGGGACCCGCTGTAGGCCTGGCTCTCCATGCTGTGGGTTCTGGAACAGGGTGCCCAACCATACCTCATAGCCCATGAGAGGCATATGGCTGGGAGAGAAGCTCTGTTAGGTCATTTGTGACTCTCAGTCCATTGCCCCAAGGCTCACTGGTTAGCTTGCCTGGGGAAGGGGGAAGGTGGGATGAGACTGGGTCCCCAAACACAAGGGAGGCTCACCAGGAGGAGAAGCACTGCCGGGCAGTCAGTATCCACTGCTCCTTCACTAGAGACCCGCCACAGAAATGCTGGCCCTGCCTGGAGGAGTGGGGAATTAGGACAGGGAACAGAGTCCTGGGACAGATGCTAGACCTGCCATCTTCTGGCTAGGACCTCTGGGGGCAGGGATAGATTGCCAACCCCCAGTGGGATAACTACAGAGGACACAACCTTAGCTGCTCTCTGTGGGAGACAAGCAGTTGTGCCTCACCGATTCCGCAAGCTGACTGTCCAGGGTGAGTTGCCCGGATGGCCCCCAACCACACGCAGCTTGGAACGACGCTGATCCAGTCGATCCACCCTCTTGCCACACTTCTCAAACTGCACCTGGTCTGTGGGATGGGATGGGCTGGATGAAACCCAGACTGTGTGGATGTGGTGGGCTAAAGGACCTGACCCATAACTGGCCCAACTCCTAACCTGGGGGGTCCAGGATTGATGGCGGCTGGTCATCAACTGAAAGACAAAGTTCACTGGGGTTAAGGGAGCCAGTCTTTGGTGGTGGGGGTTGAGGCAGGGTCATGGGGGAAGCATCACTAGTGCTCACCGCAGCGTCGCAGGGCACAGTAGTCGAATGGGGTCCCTGGGTCCATCGTGTAGCACCAGGGCCCATGGCTATCCCCATCTGGGTTCCGGCAGAAGTTCTCCTCCAGTTGTGCGTGCGGTTCAGGGGTAAACGTGAACCTAGGAGCGGGAGCAAAATCGTGGCAGAGTAGTGTCAACCATCTCCAGGCTCTGGTCCCAGACACCAAAACATGCCGCCCCGGGGTTAGGGCCCTGGCGGGGCCGGGAGCACCAGAAACTCACTGCGGCTTGTGCGGTGTCTCAGCGGACCAGCGCTGGCACTGGACACCCTTGCGGGTCTTGCTGACCGTGCCGCGGTACTGCTCCCCTGTGCCGTGGTAGCAGTCTGCGGCGGGTGGGGGCAGCCATCAGGCCGAGACCTCGCCCTGGCCCTCCGGTTCCAGGCTTCCAGCCCCGGCTCTAGCCCCCAAGCTTGGGCCTCACCCTGGGGCCGCACGTCGTCCGCACAACGCCGAATCTGGTAGCAAAAGGCCACGCGCATGCCGGGCCGCAGTGTAAAGCACCAGGGCGCCTCTGAGCCGTCGGGGTTCCGGCAGAAGTTCTCCCGAAGGTCTCTAAGCAGGCGCTCCACTCAGTCCTAGCCCGCCAGCCTCCAGCCCTAAGCCCGTGACTACCCTCCTCCCGTCTCACCCGCGGCAGCACGTCCCAACACCCGCCCCCCACCTCACTTGCACGCGTATTTTTCTGGCGTAAATCGGTGCTGATGCGGGATTTGCGCGTCCCAACGCTGGCAAGGTACGCCCGCGGTGGTGGTGTTGGCTGTGCCCCGGTAGCCCTCACCCTTCCCGCGGAAGCAGCTGACAGTCGTGGCCTCGTGGCGGGGCTGTGCCTCGGACCCTTGGATGGACCGAGATAGGTCAGACCCCGAGCTATAGCTGAGATCTCTCTGGGGCTGGGACCAAACCCGCCTTTCGCAGGTGTACGGTACTCCAAGGGACATGCTCTCAGGTCACGACCAGCCCCTCTTCCCTCCCCAGTCAAGCCACGCCCCTCCCCAAGGTTCCCAGGTACCCTCCCAGGCCCGGTTCCCGCCGCCTACCGCAGCGGGGAAGGTCACAGAACTCTCGCTCGAGCTGCGGATCCGTGGTGTAGCACCAGGGCCGCTCGGAGCCGTCAGGATTCCGGCAATAGTTGTCGTCTAGACCTTGGTCGAGGAATCTGGGGGCGGTAATGGGGCGTGAACAAGACCCTGGGACTCAGGCTTGTCTGGCCCCGCCCAATTGCCCTACACGGAGCCCTGCCCCTGGAGTCCTGGACCTTCCCTAGCCCGGCCCCCTGGGTGCCGACACCGCCTGCGCGTACTTGCCCGGCTCGAAGGGGTGCTGGTGCGGGTGCTGGAGATCCCAGCGCTGGCACTCGCGCCCTGACTCCGTGCGATCCACCGCGCCGCGGTAATCCTCGCCATTGCACCAAACACACGCGGCTGGAGACAAACAGCCAGTAGGTTGGTGGACGGGCGTGGGCTTGTCCCTCCACTCTCCCAGCTTGACCCGGCGCCGCTTACCCTCCCGGCAGGATTTGATGCCGCAGCTCTGGAAGCGCACGGCAGGGTTTGTTGTGTAGCACCAAGGACCTCCGGGGTCGCCATCAGGGTTACGGCAGAAGTTCTCTTCCAGGCCATTCCGGAGCGTGGGCGTGTATCTGAGGGCCCAGAACAGCACTATAGTGTGTGCCCGGGGAAGGCCCCAGGCCGGGATGGAGGGAAGGTGTTTGTCTCACCTGTGATCATTCGGGAACTTGTGGCTCCAAGCCTGGCAGGGCAGGCCATCTACGGTTGTGGCCACGGTGCCCCGGTACCCAACCCCATTGTCCATGACGCAGGTCCGTATGTAGTCTGGGAGCAAGAGACAGAAGATCAACTTGGGCTGAGGTCCCCTATCTCCCACCCTGTCCCTCTCCACCCCTACTCGCCTTTCTTCTGGAAGAGGTCACAGCGCCCAGAATGCCGCAGCCTCGTGTGGGGCGAGTGTTGAGTCCATGGCAGCAGTTGGCAACCATGGCTGCTCACATTGTAGTGGAAGGCCCTGGAGAAGGCACAGGGTAACGCCACAGCCCAGCCTGCCCTGCCCCCAGTCTTATCTAGGCCCAGTGGCCACTCACTGGCAGTCCAGTAAGGGCCCACAGCGACCAGCACACTCTTCAGCATCTGCCACATCCTCCTGCCAAGGCCCGGGCACCACTGCATGTAGCAGGTGCTGTAGCTCTGTGCCCCGGAGCACCTGGAAGTCATTCAATGGCGAGCGCTGCCCTGCAGAGTGGGCATGAGTGGGTGTGGGTCAGGTGGGCATACATGTCAGTAATGTGTATTGGTATGTCCACACTTTGTTCATGCAGGGGATCAAAGCTACAAGAGTTCTGGGATGGACCCTGTATGCACTTTCAAGGGCCAGTCTAGCTGCCCTGCACAGATACTTGTGAAAAAAATTTCCCCTGGGAAGCAGGCCCAGACTTGGTAGTTATCACCGGTGCCTCTGTTTAGTGGCAGGCACCGGGCTCAGATCTAACATGTACGCTCTGTGAGGGCAGTTGGTGATGGAGCCTGCCCCATCTCGTCTCTCAAATGAGAATGCTAAGGCCCAGGGCCATCACATTACCCAGCCAGGGGCCCTGGCTAGGCATTCAGACACCAAATCTGGGCTCTCACCTGCACAGAGGCATATGCTAGGTTAGAGGGGTAGATCAGGCTCAGGAGAGGTCACTACCTGCTGTGTGCATGCATCTGTGTGGTCCCAACACTGCCTCAGTGCTAGAGCAGACGTGCTAATAGAGGCCTAAGTGGGCAATGTATGTGTGTTCCTAGGGCTTCCCAGCTGTGCTCAAGAGGCCAAGGTCACTGCCCCATGTACACCAAGCCTCTGGCTCCCCAGCTTTTTTCTCATCCTAGGAGGATGGGCCCAACCCCCTCCTGAAGGTAGATGGAGATCAGGGTGGGAGGCACTCACCAGGGACCCCTAAGCATTGGGTCAGAAGCAGCAGGAGTGGGAGCCACTCCATCCTCCTGGCTGGAGGCTGCACTGTGACCCATCACAGCCCCATCCGCGAAGTTGTGAAACCTGTCCCTACGGGATTGGGTGGCTCTGGCTCCACATGTCAGGTCAGGGCTGCTGGACCCTGACCTGAGACCTGGTGACAGGAGCCATGAGGGGCCAGGCCTCAGGTCCCATAGGTCAGTTGCAAGAGTCAGTTACAGCTAGTCCCCTGAGAGGCCTCCCTACTAAGTGGACAGGTGTTAGGAAGGTTTGGTGGGGACACTTGAGGTGCCCTGGGGTTGGGGTGAAACCCCTCTGCAGCCTAGTCGCCCAGGGGCATTGTGAAAGTGAGAGCTGCTAAAGGTCTGGGTTCCAGCCCCTGGGTGACATTAAACTTTTCTGAATTTCAGTTTTTCCCTGTAAATTGGGGAAAATTACTTGCCCCAGCTTCAACACTGCCTCCCCTCCACCCTTTTGCTGCCACCTTATCAGGCCCCAGCTGTAGGCAGGTCAGCCCACGCCCGGCTGCAGAGCCCAGGGAGGCCCATCTCACCCGCCAGAAGTGTCATCCCAGGGGTGAGCGAGGCTGTCCACTAGGACTAAATAAGGGTGGAGGTAACAGGTAGCAGGGACTCTGGCAGGAACGGCCTTTCAGACGTTTTAAGGACCGTCTGAGCGGGGCCTCCAAGTATGGGTAGGAGACAGGTGGCCTAGGGATTCCGGTTAGCACTTCGCATTCTGCCGCAGCAGGGCTGGGAGCATCCCCAGAGCAGGCGGAGGTCGGAGGTGGTGTGGCCTTCCGGCAAAGCTGAGGCCTGGAACAACCCTGTGGGAGGCCCTGGAGGGGATCCACTAGCGGAGGCTGGGCTCGGGCCAGTGCGCGTGCGCGGCTGGAGGCGCTGCGCGCGAGCGTGCGCGTGATTTGGCCCTGGACGGACGCCGTAGCCAAGAGGTTGGGCGGATGTTGTGAGCCGGGTCGCGGCCGCCGAGGCTCGGGGTGAGTGAGGGGCGGCTGGTCTCTGAGCCTGGCGGGTTCCGGCTGCTCCCTTCGCGGTCCAGGCTAGTCCAGTGCGAGGGCAACTGCAGCGCAGGGATCGTGGTGCTAAACTCCGAGCGGGAGCTGTTCTGGCAGGTCCTCTGGAGCTTGGGGCCAGGCGAGGGCGACTTGGGGGAGCCATACCCCGCCCTCGCTGTCCTTGGGCTCCCAGACGGCGGAGTAGGTTAGGTTTTGAGCCCGAATACCCCGGCGGGGCTGGATGGGATAGCCGTGACAGGGAGTCCCCGGGCGGGGACAAGGTCCGTCTCTCACCTGGGTCCTCAGCAACTGACACCCAGAGTGGGTGTCTCGAAGGTTTGCTCATCAAATGAATGACTGCGTTTAATCAGACCTTCAACTACTCTGGTAGTGAAGGGGCACCGATCACGGACGCCCACCGAGGGCCCGAGGTCGGGAAAACCACCTTCCCGAGGGGCAGGCGTGGTGCAGACCCACAAGGGTTTGTGGCGGGAGTAGAGGGTCTGTTTGGGGTGAGATAAGAGGCTGAGCTGCAGAGTAGGGAGTGCTGGCTAAGGCAGTGCTGCAGAGCGCAACTCTAGACCTGCGCTGTCTAATATAACTTTATATGGTGGTGGGAATGTCCTACCTTTGTGCTGTCCAATAAAGTAACCATTAGCCACTTGCGGTCATTGAACTGTTGAAATGTGGCTAAGGCAACTGAGAAATCTAATGTTAATTTTTACAACTTTAAATTTAAGTAACCTCATGTGGATGATGGCTGCTGTGTTGGACAGCACAGCTACACATCAGTGAGACCAGCTCCAGGGACTCAGTGCAGGTTCTGGAGCAGCTGCAGCAGCAACGTGATATGAGGGATAGATGCACTAGGAGGACCAGTGGAGTTTGCCATGAGGGCTGGGCAAAGGTGATGCTTGGATGAGGTGGGAGGCCCCATGTGTGAGTGGAAACAGGGGAACTATCAGGACCATGGATAAAAGAAGGGAGGAACCCAGGGCTGAGGAAAGAGCCTCCAGCCTTGTGGGGAGTAAGTGGGACTTATGGCTAGAGATGACCAGACCAGTGGTGGTCTGCACTTGGGGGAATGTGTAGGACTCTCGCTTCTGGTTGTGAGCTGGACTCAGGATGGCTTACAACTGAGATGGAAACAGGGGCTCTGCCCCAGGACACCTCACTTTGGACATTTTGGTCTGATTTCCACAGAGCTGAGACATTTAGTTATGGTTCAGCAAAAACGTATCTGGTACCTGCTCTCTGCCCAGGCCTGTGCTGGGCACAGGGACACTGGAGAACAAGAAGTGGTCCCTGTCACATGGGCCTAGACCCCGGCTACCCTCCCTGTGTAGGAAGCTGGGAGCCCCTGCATTCCCCTGCCCTATGTGTTAGTGTGCATGCCCCTGGCCTCACCTGCTCCCAAGCCTTCCTGCCATGGCAGGACTGAGGTCAGGTTTGGGGGCCCCTGGCTGGCCCTGAGTAGACAGGTTCTGTGTCTGGCTCAGCCTCCAGGACCACTGGCTGCCCATAAGAGATGAAGGATGGCATCCAAGGGGGCCGGCATGTCTTTCTCCCGCAAGAGCTATAGGCTGACCTCAGATGCTGAGAAATCCAGGGTCACAGGTAAGGGCTGGCAGGGAAGGAAGGAGGCTCCTCTTGTTGGGAGGAGAAGGAAGGGACAAAGGCCTCAGGCCTTGCTGCATCTGTGGCTGGCCTAAGACCAGAAGTCTCTGGGGCCTGCAGGGGCCAGGAGCTACACTGATCATGTGGCCCTTTTCTCCCTTCTGACTTGTGGCTCAGGCATTGTGCAGGAGAAGCTGCTGAATGACTACCTGAACCGCATCTTTTCCTCTTCTGATCATGCACCCCCAGCAGCCACCAGCAGGTATGGCTGGGTGGGTGGCCCCTCCTCACTCCGCTGGACCAGACCAGAGCAGGGAGGCTGCAGTTGTAGGGAAAGGGAGCCTGGGCTCTGGACAGATAGGCTTAGGCTCTGTTCTTACTGTGCTCCTGGCTGCAAGATCTCTGGCGAGAGAGTCTGCCTTCCATACTCTGTCTGCTTCTTCCTGTCTCCAGGCAGTGCTAGTTCCTTCTGAGAATCAGGGAGCAGAGGTCAGGGAGCGGGTGCACATTTATGCCCAGCTAGCACCTGGCACCTACTCCACACCCAGCATCTGGCCTTGCATGTACCTGCCCACACGTTGGCCTCAGCCTGGCCCCTTGTAGCTTCTGACTGATCTTGTAAAGAACAAACCCCTCCAGGGCCTTTTCTTTACAAGTTTAATACTTAGAAGTGTAGTCAGTATAAAAGTTACAAGTACATTTTAGCAGAAACTTAGAGACAGAGGGCCAGGCACAGTGGTTCACACCTGTAATCCCAGCACTTTGGGAGGCCAAGGTGGGTGGATTGCTTGAGTCCAGGAGTTCAAGACCAGCCTGAGCAACATGGCAAGACCCCATCTCTACAATAAAATATAGAAATTAACTGGGCATGGTGGCGTGCACCTGTAGTCCCACTATTAGGGAGGATGATGTGGGAGGATCACTTGAGCCTAGGAGGTTGAGGCTGCAGTGAGCTGGCCTCTGCATGCCGCTGCACTCTAGCCTGGGTGACAGAGCAAGACGCTGTCTCAAAAAAAAGAAGGAAAAGCACCTGCTATCTTGTTATTTTAACATGACCATTCAAATGTGATTCTTTTCTGTTTTCTTTGTGTTACATTTTTAATTTTTAATTTTTGTGGGTATATAGTAGGTATATATATTTATGGGGTACCTGAGATACTTTGATACAGGCATGCAATGCATAATAACCACATCATGGGAAATGGGGTATCCATCCCCTCAAGCATTTATCCTTTGTGTTATAAACAATCTAGTTATACTCTTTTAGTTTTTTTAAATGTACAATTATTATTTCCTGTAGTCACCCTGTTCTGCTACCAGATAGGTCTTATTAATTCTATTTTTTTGTACCCATTAGCCATCCCCATCTCCCCACAAGCCCTACACTACCCTTCCAAGCCTCTGGTAACCATCCAATACTTTGCCTGCATGAGTTCAATTGTTTTAATTTTTAGCTCTCACAAGTAAGTGATAACATGCAATGTTTGTCTTTTTCTACCTGGCTTATTTCACTTAACATAGTGACCTCCAGTTCCATCCATGTTGTTGCAAATGACAGGATCTCATTCTTTTTTATGGCTGAATAGTACTCCATTGTGTATATGTACCATGTTTTCTTTCTTTATTCATTTGCTGAAGGACACTTAGATTGCTTCCAAATCTTGGCTATTGTGAACAGTGCTGCAACAAACATGGGAATGCAGATATCTCTTCGATATACTGATTTCCCTTCTTTCAGGTATATACCCAGCAATGGGACTGCTGGATCTTATGGTAGCTCAGTTTTTAGTTTAGCTTTTTTTTTTTTTGAGACGGAGTTTTGCTCTTGTTGCCCAGGCTGGAGTGCAGTGGCATGATCTTGGCTCACTGCAACCTCCCGAGTTCTAGTGATTCTCCTGCCTCAGCCTCCCGAGTAGCTGGGATTACAGACACACACCACCACGCCCTGCTAATTTTGGTATTTTTAGTAGAGATGGGGTTTCGCCACGTTGGCCAGGCTGGTCTCGAACTCCTGGCCTCAGGTGATCCTCCCACCTCGACGTCCCAAAGTGCTGAGATTACAGGCATGAGCCACCACACCTGGCCAATTTTTAGTTTTTTAAGGAACCTCCAAACTGTTCTCGATAGTGATTGCACTATCATAATTTACATTCCCACTAACAGCGTACAGGGGTTCCCTTGTTCCACATCCTCGCCAGCATTTGTTACTTCCTGTCTTTTGGATACAAGTCATTTTAACTGGGGTGAGATGATATCTCATTGTAGTTTTGATTTGCATTTCTCTGATGACCAGTGACATTGAATACCTTTTCTTTTTTTTTTTTTTTTTTCTTCACTTCTTGTCGCGGCGCAGGCAAATGGGAGTGCAGGTGGCGCAGAGTTGTGGCTTCACTTGCAGAGCTCCGCTTTCCCCGGGTTCACGGCCATTCTCGGCTGAGACATCGCCTGCTCGAAAAAACCCAGAGTATGCTAAGGGACTACAGACGCAAACACGCACAATTATCTCTGCGTCCACGCTCTAACTTTCTTTTTATTTTTTAGTAAGCAAGACACGGGGTTTCAACCGTGTTACGCCCAGGAATGGTCCGAATCTCCTGAACCTCGT